ACTCTTTCCTGCTTATGCGGGGGGTCAGACTCGATGATCTATTGAGGTCCCTTCCGACCCTAACATCTATGAATCTATGACAAAGTTTCTAGGGGCTCTGCTGAGAACAGGGTTTGGCACTTGGTTCCTAAACTGTTTTCTGAAGAAGCACTAGCTGTAATATTGCCTGACCTCATTGAATTTTTCCTACAAGCTTTTGATGTAGTGTTAGACAATCTAACAGACACTCGCTGTTAAAATGAAACCTGGAAAACCTGGAAAATGTTGCCCTTTTAGCCCCACTTTATTTAAAAACAAACAATGCCCCCCCCACCCCCCCCAAATCTTTGTTCCGTGTATCCAAGTACTAGACACCTATCATCTTAGCATGGAATTTATGAGTTAAGTTTTCTAATCTATTGGTGGCTAGTTGCATCCTTCAAGGGTGATTAATGTTCAGTTGAGAAATGGGGCTACACACTGTAAAACTGCAATATTCATTGTACCTTTTACTAAAGCAAGAGTTCTTCAGTGGTGCACATGATTTATAAAGCTCTGTAACTCTTCTTTGCTACCCAGGTACCTATGGTACATTATGGTATTCTGCCTCAACGTACAAAAATCTCAGGAGCAAAAAAAGAAAGCAAGAACACTATTTGAGTGGGGAAACAAAGGACAATGTGTAAGTTAATGCTAAATGTCTCCTCTATGTAGTGCATTTGTTCTAGAAGAAGAGATGTCAGTGGAAACTGAAAATTATCAGGCAGTCTGAGCTTATAGATTTGGTTTCCAATGGTGCCATATGGAAATTGGTGTGCTGCTTTGCAAGTAGGCACAGTGCTGTCATAGAACAGATGGATCTGCAGGGCAGCAGAAGCAGTCGTATCTGACCAAAGGTCAAAATTTCCATCTACAAATGTAAGTACAGCATTCCATAATTTTCCTTCTGGCCTAAAATGAAGGGGATTTGCCATTCATGCTTAAAGCTGGATGAAGTCTGTAAATTGAAGACTATTTTTCCATGGCTCATTAATTTGGAAGTACTCTTCATGA